CGTGAAATGAGCTTTCCAAAAAGGTATAGCATGACCCGATGCGATAAATAAAACTAGAACTACGCGTTCTCTGCGCCACCTAGCGAAAATACCGCATATTTTTTGAATTCAAATTAAAAAAAAAATAATTATTTATTTTGCAACAAAATGTCTAAATATTTCTAATTAATAACTTCTGTCACAAATATACAAAAACAAAATTTTCACGATTTCAATAAAACAGCTACGAAAACAAAAAAATCATGCAATATTAATAAGCAGCCACGCCATTACGCAATATCCGCTTAGAGCACACGCCAGCGATTAAAAGTTCATGTCAAAATTTTAAGTATGTGAGGGTTTGGCTTTTTGTTGGCATTAAATTTAATGCTTAAGTGCTTATTAACTTTTGTTATTTAATTATAATTCGGCGCTTTTTGCTTGCCAATTGTTGTTGTTGCTTTTTGTGAACCCGAAATTGCTTAGTAAAATTATATCCTGTTATTATGATGAAGTGACATTTATAGCTGAGAAAAACATATATGTGTATATGTATATATACACAGAATATGCTTAAGCTTACTGATTTATAATGAAATCTCAATAAAAATGTAATTAATTAATTTTTTTATTTTAAATTATTTTTTTAATTTTAATTTTCATATTCACACCTTTCTCCTGCCTATGAAGTAGTCATAAATTGCCAAGCCAAATATAATTTGTATGAAAGAGTGTTGCTCCTATTTCTACACGTCCACGCCGCCCCAACAATTTGACCAGCACACATACACACATGCACATACAAACACAAATAGAAACAGAAATTCGTGCAACAAGTTAGTTACTAGCAGTTATTGCCACTAGGAATGTATGTATGTATACATAAGTATATTGGTATGTGCTGTATGCATGTACATATATATGTTTGTATATATGTTTCTGAATATATATATATAAATGTCTTTGTTTATGTGCATATTTACGGCCGTGCAACAGTTGAACGCCCTTTTCATGGCAAGTGATTCCAAACGACGCGTCATTTCCCTCAACTCATTTCACTCCTGCACTGCCGTCTGCAGCCTTATCGCGCCGTTTCATTTGCAGCTAATGCTTCTAACCACAAATGCGCAGTGCTGCCACTAAATGCCATTGACTGTCGCTGCCGCCGCTGCAGCCAACTTGCCAGCCACCTAACTATCTAGATGGACTGGCTGCCTGCCTGCCTGCCAGCCGCCTGATTCTGTCGCTTGTAGCTGGTCTAACTAACGACTGATGCGCCTAGAGATCGGCGCGCATGTGGCAGGATGATTGTTGCAACGTGCTGCTAGAACTAGCTATCTAGCAGCAGCAGCAAAACAGCCTGTGAACTGGTTTCATTTTCATGTTGGCATCTTCTCTAATGCCAGGCGGCGCAGCAAATGCTGGAAAATAGAGGCAACGATGCATGCATGCGGCGGTATGTTTGTATGTATGTATGTGCAACAATAAGAACAACGCAAGGCGATCGAGACATTAGCTGCTTCGTGGCTTGGAAAGTGACTTGGCTATTGACACTGGGCAATCGGTTGCACACGTTGGAGTGGCAGCTGTTTGTGGCAGGTTGCAAGTGTGTGTGTGTGTGTGCGTATGCTTATAAATATAGCTGGCGACTTGCTTGGGTTCAACAAGTGGTCGTTTAAAGTGAAGGGGAATAACTACAAGAACAAAAAAAGAACAACAAAAAGCTAAAAAAGCAACAACAAAACGGCATTCATCACAAATATTATGGCAGAAGGAGGCAGTTGCAACATGTTGAAAGGTAGCAAAGACCTTCCCATAAGATTCACTTTTTGCTGACAAGCTTGCGCTGTTGTTGTTGTTTTTGCGCTTCCTTCTAATTCCTGGCCGGCCGCGCACATTGCACTGCATTCGTGCTGCAGCAGTCAGCTACCACTGCTTTGTTGATGTTTGTTTGTTGTTGTTTTCGTTTTGGCCTTTGTTTTTATTACTCGTTTTTATTGACTGCTTGTTGATGTTGTTGTTGGGCTTATTTATGTTTGTTGTGGCTTTTCATTTCATTTCATCGCCTCGTCCGTTCGTTGATCTCTAACGTGGAACGTTCAGCTGGCAACGTGCAACAAATTGTGGAATATTTCAAACGAAAACGAAAACTTATGGCCCAACAATAGCAAAAACAACACCAACAACCAGTAATGGCTTGAAAGGTTGTTGCAAGCGCTGCACCGAGAACGAAAGCAAGAATGCCACATTTCTTCGTGCAGCAATGCTTGTGGCAGCCAGCGCACGTTGACAGCAGATTTTCGGGATCGTTGCCACTTGCTGGCACCAACACACCAGCATTTCGATATACATATGTATTGCCGTCTGATAAAGGCTGTACTTTGCTGCCACATACTTGACCAGCGCGCTGCCTCCGCGGCGACCTGCCCCTCTGGCGGCACGCTCGGCTTGGCGTTGCTTTATTCGGGGTAAATGCACTCTGCACGAAATGTGAATGAACGGCGTGCACGTGAAAGAGGTCTAGAAAGCACACAAACGCACACAAAGAGACGCACAGGCTGTGATAAGTTTGTATGTGTTTGTGTTGCATGTGGCAAGGATGCTCAGGCGGCAATATGCTGGTCGTGTATCATGCTGCTGTTATTGCCGGCAAATGTGTATATTTTATTGTTTTTATTTTTGTTGTTGCAGGCAGCGGTGTTCGCTATCATGGTATAATTATGTGAGTGCTGCGTTTGTGTGCTTGTTTTTTTTTTTGCTGTTGTTGCCTGCATTATGATTGCTTTGTTCTTATGTTGGCTCATATTTGCAGTATTTGCCTTGCTGCCATAGCCTACAACAAATGCGCAACACAAACATACACAAAGATGGATTACAAAGGTGGGTGCATGTTGTTGTTGTCGTTGTTGTTGTAAGCGCAATACGCTCACTTATTAGTTGCTAAAATGTGCAATTTACGTTTGGATAATTGCAATAAGCGCACAATCGGTTTGAAAAGTACAAAAGTGCAAGAAAATACAGCGAGTGTCATATGCGCCAAGAACGAGTTTGTTGCTTAAGTCTTTCGTAATTTTCCCTTACCAACGCGCTTGAGAGGCTGCAGGCGGCAGGAATTTTTTGATTACCACAATATATGTATATATATATATATGTGTGCATGGAAAATGGTATAAATGACAGCATTAGTAGCTTGATATGTGAAATAATTTGTAGATAATCTGCTTTGTGGCAAAGGCTTGACTTTCATGCTGAGAAATTGTTTGCTGGATGTGGCTAGTGTTGCGCTAATGGCTACAAAAGCCAGGAAATTAGTTTCTAAGCGTTTGGAAATTGTTTTCTGCTGGAAGAAATATGTACTTTTTTAATTAGAATTTTTTAAGTGATTAAATCCACTGGCATCTGGCTCAAGTGAATGACTTGAATTTCTTATTTTTTTTCAAAGCAAGAGATTTCAGTGAGGGAGAAGCTTGTTGAATTGGCTTTTTGATGAAAAATTGGATAATTATGACCGTTTTCATAAAATTTTTGTGAAAATTAATAAATTTGATTACCAACAGTTATGTCTAAATTTCTCATATATTTCATAAAAATGGCAAAGGCGATTTTTTGTTGAAAATTTTCTGCAAAATAATTTTAAGATATCAAAAAGTATGTCAAAAGTTGTCAAATGCGTCATAAAAATGACAAAGGAAACTTGATAAGTTAAAGCATTGAAAAAAACTATTTAGAAATTAATTAAGATGGTTTTATGTCAAAATTTTTCATATCNCTGAATTTTTTTAAATATTTTCTTATTTGTTTTGAATTGCTTTAAATTTTTTAAAATATTTTGATTAAAATGTGTGTTTTAATTCAACTATCTTTCACCTTTCTTGTAAATTTTTTTTGTTGTTGTTATTTTCCTTTGCCTACGCCTTTTAATGACTTGTTGTTATTATTGAGCTTAGCGCAATAACACAGTTTTCTAGTGAAATGTAGAAGATTTGGTTATACACACATGCACATAATGAGATATAAAACGACAGGCCAAAACAAAAAAAAAAAACAAAAAAACAGAATGTAGAAGCAAAAAAAATATACAAAAACATATATATTAAGCATTTTTTGTTGGCGCCGCCAAACTGGTTTGTGTGGTAATCACCATTTTTGCACGTAAAACAACAATGTGCACGCTCATTTAGATATTGTATGTAAAGAAAAGTTATAAACAAATCTAACAAAAACCAAAGCAAGTACAAAATTGCACAACAAATTTGTAGAAATGAAAGAATCTTCCGTTTATTATTTCTATTTTGCTAGTATAAAAATAAAAATGGGTCATTGATGACTAATTATTTGAATTTGCTTAAAATGTTTGCTAATTGTTTTAAAAATAATGTTTTTAGCAGCAGCTCAGTGAGTCAAGCTCAAGTCAATCTGCTTGGTAGCAGCTAATTGATTACTGAAAACAAGTTATTTTAGTTTTTTATAGTGAAAAAAAATTTTTTTAATAATATAGTATAAACAGTCGAAATATTCCTAACAGAGTCATAACAGCGTATTATCAGCTTATAGTGTTCATTTAACAGCGCTGTAAGAACTTAATAGAGATGCTGTTATCGTTAATATAACGCTATGTAGAGGCCACTGTATTTAAAAAAGCTGATGAATAGGCTATTATTTAACAACAAACCTTTGATATTTAAGCTAGTATTAAGAAAAAAAAAAAATTTTCTCAGGAAATATGCTGTCGAAATTGTGAATTACGTAATATGTAAGCCTTCAAATTAGCTTTAGAATTTATTACTCGCTTCTCAAGGGCATAAATATATTTCTTTAATTAAAAGGCCATAAAATTTCAACGGCGTGGTTGCCATATCATTTTTTTCAATGCTTTGTAATTTTCTAATGCTTGATTAATCATTTTATAGTAGCCAATTTCCTCCATCCATTTACACTTTTTTCATTTTGTATAGTTTTCGAAAAAACTACATAATAAATTACTAATTTGCGATAAACAAAATAAATTATAGGAAAAAATGTTAACACCTTCTAATGAAGTAACACACCAATGAATGACACAACAATAGATATATATTGTGTCTGTATAATTGCTGTAGCAATCACTCACTTGAGCGTTACAATTGAGCTGTCGACAATAGCAAAAGAAGGGAGCGAAACGCAAAGCCTAAAGGGAAAAGCTTAAAGAGGCTAAGTCGAGTTAAGCGATACGAAAAATTAATACATTAAAAAAATATTAAAATTAATTGGTAAGTAAATGACTTAAAATTAATTAATTAAAATTTTTTTCTAATTAAAAATATTTCTAAGTGGAAAAAATGGTCCACACCCATTTAATGAGAACACATCTTAATATTAGCCATTCAAAACAATATTTTTGTTTTTTTAATTGAATATAAATAAACGCTTTTGTTAATTACTGTAATGTTACTTTAATGTGCTGATTAATTTGTTTACGTTTCAGGTGCTTTGAAAAGCACTTACATGCGTATCAACTTCTGGTTCTGTGGCTTAAGTCTTTTGTTTTGCTCAGAAACAGCTATACTTCTACCATTCTTTAAAATTAATATCAAAATACTTCCAGATATTACAAAAAAAAAAAAAAAAAAAAAAAAAAAAAAAAAAAAAAAAAAAAAAAAAAAAAAAAAAAAAAAAAAAAAAAAAAAAACAAGACATCACAATACCTTCAACAAATCAGATGCTGTAGGATCTCTGCCCACTTAGTCGCCACTTTCAGCTTGTCATGTTACATAATACGGCTAGTCAAGCACATTTTGTGAACTATTAAGCTCTTAAAGTTAATAATTTAATAGCTAAGCTGAGAGCAGTTTATAAATTACGACAAAAAGTCACTTTTATTTTCAAAAAAGCGTTAAAGAAATAATTATTTAGATACATATATACACATACATATGTATATTTCCCACATTGTTGCGGCGCTGACGTATGACAACGCAAACGCTGTTGTACAACACTTAACACTTCTTGTTGATATTAAATTACAATTTCATGTGTTTTTTGCTAATTTATTTTTGGGATTTGTTGTTGCTTTTGCATGCTTTGTACGATGGGCTCATGCGGTTTTAAGCTGTTTGCTGGTGGAAAGTGAGGTAGAGCGGATGCTTGCAGGTAAATTTTTAGAGGAAATTAATTGATTTTATAAAATTTTTCTAACAAAAGGTAGTTCAGTAAAAATTTCGTCAGAACTTTATATCTGTCTCTTATACACATCTTCATAAATTGTCAAATTAAAAAAAAAAATATGTAAACTTTTAAACAAATTTTTCTTAAATAAAATACAATTTATGGTACCAGCTCTGTATCAATTGACACTTTTAACGAGCTGCAACACCCTGAAGTTAAATGTGTGCTTCAAAATAAGCAAAAAAGTTTATAATTAGTATATACGTTTACTTCACATACTGCACATACAAGCTAACAGCAGGAACCAAAAATGAGTTGGGTGAAAAAAAAAACAACAACAAAGTGTCACCAGCATTAAACAGAAGACACAAATGTGCTTTGACAATAAAGCCCGCGCAATAATATGAAACACAATAGTCGACCGAAAGTCATTGAACTTGGCACTAAAGCAAATATACACATATGAACTCATATATATATACATGCACACACAAACACATGCATCCATGTATTACCTGTATCTTAACAAAAAGCCATGCCTACCCATTGTGTATTGTTCTTTTTGGACTTAATCACACCTCCCAACGCGAGCGCTGACAATACTAACCGTAACAACAAGCACAATGGCAACAACAACAAGTATAGCGAGAACCACAGCGCCATCACCGGCTTGATTAGTGAATTAACTTTTTTGCGCTTTTTGTTTTGCTTGGCATATTCTACTTTATCTACATGGCACGGCCAATTACGAGCATTTGCATGAAATAAACGCACACTTCCTTTGACTTCATTTACATAAATTAACAAAATGAGTGTGAATAAAAATTAGAAAAAAAACTATATATTTAAAATATATAAATAAACATACATATGCTTATATGCATGGCTTTTTAAGTGTAGCAAAAATCAACTCTTGCCTACGTTTTGCGATTTGTAATCATAAAATGTGCCTATCAGAAATTGAACCAAAAAAATTTTGAGTTATGCAATTTTTATTTTTTTAATTGGATTAAAATTAAATTTAATTTTTACTCATGCATTTTTTCACAAATTAATAACATAATGTCGTAAAAGTGTTTTTAAATGCTTTTTACTTAATATGTTGAAAATATATATATTTTTTTATAAAATTAAACTTTGAGTTACGCTCTTTTTCTGAAAAATTTTGAGTAAAAGGACGTAAAAGTGTTATTTAACACAGGTTGTGTTCAATGTATTGAAAATAAACCAAATTTTTCAAGATATGCTATTTTGAGTTATGCACTTTTATCGAAAAAAGTTGATCTAGTATGCCAGTTTTGATCAATATATTGTTTTTTAGATGCAAATAGTGAACTCTAGTAGACTTTACCAGCTGGGCAATACTAACTTTTTCATACTAAAATCTTTTTAATCTGAAGTTAATAAATTTTTTATTTTATTTTTATATTTCGAAATAAATACTCGATTTATTTTTAAAATTTCTTAAAACTCTTTATTACTTCGTATGCTTTAT